ACATATTTTAGTATTTTTCAAAAGAATTTTAATTCTGAACATTGGCAAACTCTGAAACATGTCTTGCGATATTTGAAAAACACTGGGATTAAAATTTCGTAAAAATGACAGAAATTTTGAAAATATAGTAGGGTATGTTATTGCAGATTTTGCCAACTCTACACTTGACAGAAAAAGTATTAAGTAGTGCTTTCATCATAAAGTTGTATGATAACGTTATGTTTTGGAAAACAAAGAAACAAACAACGGTTTCTCTGTCAAGTGCAGTAACAGACTATGTCGCTTTGTTATCGTATGTCACCGAATGTATTTTTATTGCTCACTTTTTAAGAGAAATTTTGAGTAAGAAAGTTTATCCAATTGAAATTTTTGACGACAATCAGTCCTGCATTAAAATGAAAAACACTCTGGAGACTAAAATGACAAAGGATATACAGGGTGTATCAGGTATGAGTACAAATATTTTAACATGAGATAATATGGCCCATTTCAAGCTGAAATTCTTCTATTGACCAACAATTGTTAGTATTTTCGGAGTTATCACAGAATTTTAATTTAGAAAAATGTTAACAACGTGGCAACATTGTATAGGTATTATCTCTGCTAGGATATAAATGCAAATAAAACTGGTGAATTTAAAAAGTTTTTTTTTGCACGGATTTTATTTATTTCCATCTGTTTACGTTTTGGTTTGTTATTGGCTTCCAAATAATGTAAATAATGCACTCAATGACATTTTTGCACTAGAAATTCAAGAGAAAAATCAAATAATACTTACTCAGCTACTTGCCAAATCCCTATTATGAAAATATTAATTTTTGTTAAAAGGTTCTCAAAACACTAAAATCAACACGCAGATTTTGGACACTCACACTTCCTGTATCACGCAATCTTTGTAAAACAGACACAATGTTCTTTTATCAGGTGGGTGCTTTTCTTTTGGGAAATCTTTCCCTAGTTTCCCTGTAAATTCTGGCGGCTAAATGAGCATTTTGTAACGATTTTGTCTAAACAAGTATGTTATTTTTGCAATTTTTTGCTATTGTTGTTGACTAAAAATGCATAATTACTTAATAATTGAATAAACTAAATTTGTTTACATCTTATAATGATTAAAATTTTCTTTATCTTTAAAATATTCTTCAAAAAATGTCGAAACTTCAAAGGTCTTTTTCTTAAAAATGGTTGAGTTTGGACCCCATGTTGTATAAACGTATTTTCGTCAAAATGGGCCATATTATCACGTGTTGAAATTTTTGTAGTCAAACCTGATAGGTACACCCTGTAGACATACGTCATCATTTTCTGAGAGACAGTGTCATGAATAAACATATTATTTTGAAATATATCCCCACAGAAACCAAGAAGCAGATATGTTCACAGAAGCTTTGAAAAAAATTAAAAATAAAAGATTTTGTGACATGTTAATTTTAATAGCAATTAATCTGTAGATAGCTAGTAGTTGTAGTTCAGTAAAATTATTATGTATTTGGTTTATGGTATAGCACAGGCTTATACTTGAGATTATTTTTGAAAAGTATTTTTTTAAGTTCTTCAATAATGTGAAGTGTTTCACTGAAATTTTTAGTTTGCTTTGCAAAATTGGAAGAGGGTTTTGAAGTAGGCAATCATGCAAGGATTTTTCTGTGACTATTTCACTAGAGTGTTTTACACTGGCAAAATGTCATAGGAACAGCCGATTTCCTACTGACAAAACTCCTACCTGTTCCTACCTGGACAAAACCAACAAGATGGATTTTCAGCGGCAAAATTTTCTTTGTTTTATTCAAGTTTGTTGCTAATTTCGCTCATGAAATTTTTGAGCAACAAACTTTCATACCAGTCGAAAATGTTGCCAACAATTTTTTTTCTCTTGTGGTATTATACCGGGTGGGGCACGAAAAACTTTCCACCCAGGTTTTCTCAGGTGTTAGGTGTTTAATCAAAAATTGCTCAGACACGTCAATTTTTGTTTTTTGGGGGACACATTTTATTGGTATTTTCACCCCCTACCTGTGAACCCCAAAGTGGGGGTGACAGATACCAACAAAATTTCAAATGAAAAGGGGGGTCGAGTGATACGTCATTTGATAGCTATTTTCATTAAGATTATATCCCCGAAGTTTCAAGTTGGTACTATTCACCCTGTCGAAATGGCGGCTTGTCAAAGTTAGGAAAAATCAATGGAAAAATGCTATGTGGTTTTTACCTGTTACCTACGCATAGGTGTGACAGATAAAAACTATACAGCTTAGATTATCAAAAAACGGTATTTATGACCGATTGACCAATAAAGTGCTATTTATAGAACAGTTTTGCGTCAATAAAGTAGCACTTTATTGTACTAGTAAAATAAAGTGCTACTTTATTTTACTAGTAAAATAAAGTGCTACTTTATTGCCTACCTGGACAACCTAACAAGGTGAAACAGATCCTGACAACCTGCCAAGGTGAAACAGATATACCTACGCGAATTTTACTTTTTTCATTAAATTTTTTTATCCAATTTTGACGTTTAAAAATGACATTATTGAACGCATAATAACAAAGGTAAGTAGACGTTTATCACCTCAGTGATTTAAAATATTTTTAACTCACTCTCGGTCTTTTAAGTCACTCTACCAGTATAGAATCTGCTGCAAATACAAACAAACAACTAGTTATACCCTAGCAACCACCAATTTCAATATTTAGACGTTTTCATATGCTGCTTAATAAATTCTTTTTATAATTTGATTCCTATTAATTTAAATGTCCATCAAAATAGGATAAAATTTTGTATACATCACGTGAGTTAACATGTTTATTCATTCCAAGAAAATTAACACACTCGCTAAGGCTCGTGGGTTAAACTTTCTTCTCATGAATAAACATTCATTTAACTCACTTGGTGTATAAATAACTATTAATTTCTAACAAAAATCAGTCGCAATCGTACATAAAATCATGTATATAACGCTTACATAAACAGGCTTTATTGACTCATTATTTAATAGCCGTACAATAAAGCCTTACTTTATGTACTTGTTATATAAATAGCTATTATCCTAACTTTGACATGCCGCCATTTCGGCAGGGTTAATAGTAGCAACTTAAAACTTCGGGGATATAATCTCAATGAAAATAGCTACCAAATGACATATCACTCGACCCCTCTTTCCATTTGAAATTTTGGTGGTACCTGTTACCCCCACTTAGGGGTTCACAGGTAGAGGGTGAAAATACCAATAAAATGTGTCTCCCAAAAAACTAAAATTGACGTGTCTGGGCGTTTTTTGATTAAACACCTAACACCTGAGAAAACCTGGGTGGAAAGTTTTTCGTCCTCCACCCGGTATATGAGTATCAACCACTGTAGCGACCTAAAAACAAGATTATGTCATGTCACTCATGTTATATGTCATTCGAAAAGTGATCGTTTTTGTACTGTATCCGATTTGTACGTAATATACAATTAGAGCCTAATCTGTGTCAGTATTTCCCAAACAACAGGAAAGGAGTATCACCCAGTGTGTCTATATGTGGTATTCAAAAGCTTAAATTTTGCTCTACATTGATGAAATTTGAGAGCAAAAAGCTTCCTAAGCTATTTAAAAAAATTGGTAGTTATTGTAGAATTCCTAACTTTCTCATAAAAATAACCAAAATTGAAGGCTAGTTCGTAGAAGAATCAGCCAGTAGGAATTAAATTTGAAAAATTTCAATTTTATTATAATTGGTTTTCTATGAAATTTTGGTTAATAAGAGATAAATTTGGTAAAACGTGTATAATGGTGGAAGTAGCACTCGGTCTCTCATAGCATTCAAAAATCACATCATTATCCTTGGCACTCTTCATGAATTTTGCTGTTTTACTACTGAACCAAGCCCTGATCTTAGATAAAGAAAAATATAGCGCTTTCAGCGATACCAACTACAAATTGAAATTTATTTGAAAGTAAAGGGTCTATGATAGTAGTATCAAGTATTCCTATATCATTCAAGAACTCTCAAGTTTATAATCTCTAACTTTCTAAAAGCTTTCTGAAAAATCCCATCTTTCCAGAGGAATTATCGAAATTGAGAGGCTGTAGAAATATGTCTTTCTATTAAATTTAAAAGTTACAACTTGGTTCTCTACTCATAAATATTGAATATTTTAAAGCTGAAGGCTTCCTGAATTTACAAAATAACATATATAGGTGGCTCTTCCAGCAATAAATAAACTTTTTCTAATTCAAGGTAAAGGATTTATACAGTAGAAGTATCACTCATATCACATTTGAAAAATACCAGCTTCATTATCTTCCGGTTTTTCTTTATGGGAGTTTGGACTAAAAAAAATACTGACTTTCTTAGTTTAATACAGAAACAGATAAACTCTTTTAGAATTACCAACTTTTAACAAGAAAATAATTTTTTTGGAAATATAGTCGAAATTCCAGGTGGTTTTAATGAAAATATATAAGCATTTAAAAATGTATTCATGGATTTTTTCTTCATAAAATTTGGAGTTATTAAAGCTAGAACCTTTCAGAGTTGAGGTGTGTAGCTTTTCCAGGATCCCAACTTCCCAGGAAAAAAAATCTAAATTGAAGGTAGAGGCTAATCTTTTCTATTTTCAACGATTTTCAAGAAAAATTGTTGGGAATATTGATGTTTTTTTTTCAATTCCATAGGTATAGTTCTTTGGCTTTCTTTGTTTTTATGTCGAAAAATTGGGTGCACCATAGAAGGCCAAGAGCCTAGAATAGACAAAAATTGAGACACATGTCAGAACCATTGTCGAAAAAATCTAACACATATTTCATTTAAATTTTCTTAAACGTTCAAGATTATAAAAAGAATGCATGTAAGTATTTTTGATTAGGGTTTCTAACGAAAACTGTATTTGTGGGAGATTTGAATTAGTTGAAAAATTGAGTTTGAATCTAAATAAGTTCTAAATTTTTTGAAAAATCTAAAGTTTGGTGTTTATTTCTTGAAAATCTTTTAAAAGAAAACTAAAACTAATAACTTACCCCAGTTAAAGTTCTGAAAGGATTCAACCTCAAATTAAAATCTTCCGGTCGTCCTTGGGCCGCGATCGCGAGCACCGCCAATGAAAAAAAAGTTTGAAAACCGACAAAAGTCATCCTCGTAAACGAACAAGAGTCCTGTAGGATTGTATTATCGGAACTGGGGATGGTGGCGGCGTCAATGAACAGGTTGTTGAGTAACGTCGCGTTTTATAGCGTCCAAAAAGGCGTCGGATGCCTCTAACGGTTCTTGCGCTGCTTCATGATGATGATGATGGACTGTGGTGGTGGTAGTTTTGATGTCTCTGTTGTTGTTCAACAATGTAAAATTGATGTTTTTTTTTGGGGCTTACATTTCCAATTATGGGTTTGATTATCTACAAAAGAATGTTTTTGTTTTAATGTGGTTTTTGGAAAAATTCAATAAACAATTTTCAAAAACTCGTTCTCCTATTCGAATGACTCTTGATTAATTATTACTTACACAATTCAAGATTACTTATATTTTGGATGTTATAAAAAGGTTTTTCCAATTTTTGTACCCACTTAATTGAAGAGAAGACTTGAATCTTAAGATTCCATTCAAAACAGTAATTTTAAGGCTTGAATTTTATCTTCTTGGCCTAAGATTTCTTAAATTATTAATTAACATTTTCGCTTTCAATGTCTTCATACCCTTACAATGAATTTTCACTGACTTTGTTTTTTATTCCAGTAAATAAATATACAACTTCAAAGGATTCATTTTACTTATTCTTTTTCTATAGACCATTTTTTGCAATTGTATCTTATTTTGTATTCAGTTATAATTTAAAAACTCAAGAGCCAAACTTGCAGAAAAAAACATAAAATTCTCTCCTTCTTCGCAATCTAATTGACACTGTTGGTGGCGTTGTCGCAAAATTCCATTATTACAATTCTTTCTCTATCGCATACAACGAAAAACTGCGTTAATAGAATTTTCTTTTTGGTATGTCCTTGTCGGTTTATTTTAGGGACAGCTACGGAACTAGGTTCTCGTTTTACCCTTCATTTTATTCCGGTTAACCTCGCGACAATTGGGTTTTATTGCTTTCTGAATTTCTACGCTGACATAAATAGGAAATCAGTGGCTATATGTTGGTTGTTTGTGGGTAATGAAAAATTGCAGAATTTTTGGACTTTGACAGAAGTTTTATGATCATAAAGTAATGTAGACAAAGTTGCTGATATACATGGGCTAACTTCTGAATCTAAGAACCATCTACAATGGACAGCTGAGAACAATTCTGAGAGATCTTGAAGTCCCTATAAACCTGGAAAAGAAGTTTTCTAACACATGTTGCTAAGATTGCAGATGAGAGAATCAAGAAATTCGTGAGAAGTCATCATCAGTACGATGGTTTAATCAATCATCTCAACCCTTTTGTCGATAATTGGAAAGATCATCAACTGCAGAATTCAGTAGACTTGACTCAAAATCAAAACGCACAAACGTAAATTTTTCTTGCAATTTTACAGCATATCTTCAGAAAGCTTGAAGCACCAAAACACGTACAGGGTACTTGATTATGGTTGTGTTCTTTTTTTAACTGCTAAATTCGTCGTTTCTTTTTTAACCAGCATGCTGTACTATTGGTTGATTTTGGAACGGATTCCAGTAATTATTAACATTTTACCGGCGACAAAACTAACCTAACCTAATAACATGGTTCTCCATTCGTAGGTCGATCGAGTGTACGCCACTGGTATTTTCCTGTTTCTGACTACCCCCTCAACCTTTCCATCTCGGCTGCGCCTCGTTAAAAAAATCAGATCTCGATCACCGAAGTAGCATTTCGCGCACTAATAACTATTTTTTTGCTTCGTAATACAATTAATTCTTTTTTTTTACCCAGTGAGATTAAGTCGCTAAATTTCTGACGAAACCGTGTCAAGAGCCAATGATTATCAGTCGGTTTCCGAAAGAGTGTGATGACTGTGTCTTAAAACACGACTCTCGACTCCTGGTTCCATGAACAAATCGCATGTTTTGCGACCGATAAGAATCCCAAAAGCGTCATCAAGCTGCCAATATAAATAGGCCTGTGAGCCTCCTAGATTCATTCAGTTCTGTAACGTAGTTCTGGTGTTTAGTGTTGACGTCTTTCTGCTGACTCTCTCTCCGAAACCTTAGGTAATGTTTCAATTTTAAGTATTTTAATTTTTTCGTCATCATTGTTGTTTTCTATCTATTATTTACTTTCTCCCCTGTGTAAAGAACAAAATCGTTGGCTTAGCTACACAACTCAAATCTCTCTTCCAGCATGTATCTTATCCTGAATAACGAGGCCGTTTTATCATTCCCTTGTCGAGGACGTCCGTGACTTTTCACCCATTAAGAATTAAAACCTAGTCTTTATTTTCCGTATCTTTTAATCCTTAATTTCTCATGTAACTTGTACCATCAAGAAACGCCCTATACAGGACGCTCATTGATTTCACTCCCTATCATTCCAAATCTCCGTATGTATTTTCTTTCATTTCATTTCAGTAAACATTGTTAATAACTTACTGTATATTCTTTACTTTTCTTCCATTTCCTTACCAAGATTTACCATTTGTTCAATAAACCATTGTTAAAGTTTAGTAACAAAAACTGATTATTTTATTTCCTTCGGAAAACCCCGAGCTAGCATTCCAACTAACTGCGTATAGCTCAGGTAGCTAGAACCCATACTGGAAGAGGCGATCTAATCACATTACTAAAAAGTAGTAGGCCTTTACCAGTGCTAAAACAAAGTCTCCCTTACCCAACCGTCGCAATCAGGTGGCGGTGGTAACAGTAGGCTGTTGACTCAGCATAGGTATGCCCAGCTGAAGCCTTTCGGAGGGGTTTAGTTTCAAGGCAGATATGACACCGCCTGATGAATTGGACAATGTCAGTCTTCATTTTTGACCAGCAATACTTAAGACTGACCCGTGAAAGAATATTCGACACCCCCAAGTGACCGCAGGTGGGAGGATCATGATGCGAGCGTATAATTTTGGAACGTTGTTCCCGGGGAATGAATAAGCGCCAAGACAAACTTTCGCTTGCTAAACCAGGGTATGGTATGGGATGAGCGCGCTTTTATAGCTTTCCCTTATCGACCTACCACATGGGAAATTCAGAGGGAAGGCCTTATACTTTCTGTTTCATGTCCAGGTACCACTGATCCTTTATTTGGGAAGATGGAACGTCATCGGAATCCACTAAGATAACATATCACATGCTCATCTTTGACATGTATCTGAATTACCTACATCACATTGGACAATGAAGGGTTTGTCGAAATCTGGATACGACAATACAGGGGCCTTAACTAAATTTTCCTTGATCGTGCAAAAGGCAGTCTCGCAAGCATTATCCCAGATAAATTTGACATTCTTCCTTGTCAAGGCGCTAAGGGGAGCTATAAGGCTTGAAAAATTAGGGACGAAGCGCAACCACGAAGAGGCAAGACCAACGATTCGTCTAATTTCAGTAACTGATTTGGGGGTAGGGATGTTAAGAATAGCCTCTATCTTATCTGAATCGACCAGAAGAGCCGAAGAATTCACCACGTATCCCAGATATTTCAATTCTGGCTTGCAGACAACGCACTCGTCCTTATTTAGGGTAAATCCAGAGCGAGTCAACCGATTGATGACCTCACGTAAGACCTCAACATATTCTTCGAATGTAGATGTATAAATAATCACGTCGTCAAGGTAGACGAAGACTGAGGATTCCATCTGGACCCCAATAACGCGATCGATCAGCCTCTGTCACACCGCTGGCGCGTTAGTGAAGCCAAATGGCATACGCCTAAATTAAAATAAACAGCGTGTCGAGATAGTGGAAGCCTTTAGAGGTTTTGATTCCTCAGAAATTGGAATCTCGCTGACTTAATGTCCAACGTGCTGAGAAAACGAGCATCCCGTAATTTGACAAGCGTAGCTGAGACACAAGGTATGGGACAGGAGTTGGGAATAGCTACACGATAAGGTGCCCGATAATCCACACAAAAGCGCCATCCACCACATTTTCTCTTAATCATCACGATCAGAGAAGACCAAGGCGAGTTAGAAGGCTCAACAATACGATCTTCTCTAGTTCTATGTTAACTAAAGTCTAAAGATCACGGGAAAGGGGATAGTATCGCTGTTTGATTGGGGAAGAGTTCGTCATGATATATTTTCTATCAGCTCGTCTAGAATACGCTGCTGATCGGTTGCGAGGCTACTCCGACTCTGGATGGCCGACACTTGAGGAGAAGAATCCTGGTAATTTCGACCATTATGAAAATGCCATTCACCAGCATGGAGGTCTGGCACTATACCCATGCGACACCAAAAATCTATGCCTAAAATGAGAGAATGTAGCAATGTCGGAACGACCAGTGCATCAATGAGAACAAGGCGGTCTCGCAACTGAAAGGGAACTCGGACCGAACCGATTGAGTTTGCATAGGGACTTCAGAGCTTTCCAGCCTCTATCACCAATGATGTTTCTAGAGGCACCACTGTCCAATAACCCAAGAAGTGATAGACCGAAAACACGGACTGTCAAAGGGTCGCTCATCGCCTTTGACATGAGAAAGAACATAGTCCATCAAAATCTGAGATACAAGTGTGGCCTCATTAGTTGTTACTTGAAGGCAAGACGCTCGGCCTTAGTTTGTTTTTTGAACAATGCAGGCAGAACCTAGACGTAATATCACTTTCACCGCAACGGTAACAGAAACGGTTACGAGGTTGTTCACATTGGTTGAATCGGTGATCTGGCCTCCAACAGTTCCAACAGGAAGCCTGTTTTGTCGAATCTGATACTGTGTCAACCTCAAATCATCGGATGGAAGAATATCTGAAACAGAAACAAGATGTGTAGTCTCTACGGCATTTAGGCTTTAGCTGGGCTTATGGTAGGCTAATTCTGGTTCGATTCAGTGTATAGTTGGTTGGAGGAGGAACAAATGTTTGAATGCGAGACTCTGTCTCTTCTATATCTCGAGCAAGGCGAGTTAATTCCTGGACAGATGCAAAATTTTGGGTGGCCAAACGAGTTTGAAAGTTGAGAGAGAATTACGATGCACCAACTAGAGTTTAGTTGGCTCAGAAGGCAGTTGAGGCAATTTGCGGAATAAATTTTCCATGGCGACAACAAAACTTATGACTTTCTCCTGAGATCCCTGAATTCTTCGCCGAATCTCATCCCAGAGTGAAAACTCGAAGTCATATTGTCGTATCTAGGATGATAGGGCATCTCCCTTCGGTTCATTAAACCCAATCATCTTCCAAAAAAGGTTCATGGGCTTCAGGAAAATCATTGATCACGTGAAGTTTAAATAACATTCGGTTGCAAGTTGAACGAATTATTGAATTAATAATTTGTACA